TTTAATGTAATGTAAACAAGAACATTTTGTTTGTAATTTGCTAAATGTATTACAGCCCAACTGTGTCTCCAATTAGGAACTTAAGGTTCATTTAGTCATTCACATCTGGTTCTGATTTAAGGTGACTTTCCTTTCCCACTTAAGAGTGCACTTTCCATGGCTAAAAAGGACCCAGGAATGCTTTACAACGCTTTGGATCCATCCCTTTTGCTCCAAAGCTGGATGGACTCTTTAATTTAATGGGTCAGATTTGCTCTCTGTTGTCACTGTGGACTCAGATCCCAGACTTCGATGACCAGAATCAGAGAATCCAGAAACAGTGGGGAGAGACAGGAAATTTAGCTGGACTCTCAATTTAAAAAAAAAAAAAAAAAAAAAAAAAGATGCCGAGGGCTGCTGAAACTCCAAGGAGTCTAATATAAAGGGCGTGACCTTGTTACGTTATTATTTTTCTTTCTCTGTAGGTTCCAGGCGGTGAAAGATTAGTAGCAAAGGCCAACATCACAGCCACACTTAGGGTTTATTTCCCTTTCTCCATCTGGTGCCTTTTTAAAAGAACTTAGTATGCTTCCGAAAAGGGCTCTCCATTGTCTTAACGATTCATTAGCATTTAAAACCTCTGGTTGGAATCCCAAACACAATTCGGCTCCCATTCCGGATGCAGCACCATCTTCTAAAGCATTAACATGGAGCGATCTCGGATATGTGACGTTTTTGCTCGGTGGCTTTGGTAGGAACGATCCCTAAGGGAGGTCTTGTGTTCCTGGAGGATTTGTATCACTTCTTTCAGCTTCCTTTTGATTTCTCTTCTTTGAGAGATCCTTCACAGAAACCAAAGCACATTTGGTTTCTCCCTCACCATGGATTCTGAAAATAGGAATCACCCCTTCTGCAGTGGCTTCCAATCCCCGCCTGCGCAGCACAGCGAGGAAGCACGCGGCAGACGCACACAGAGCGCTGTGCGCGCTGCTCCTCTGGCTGGCAAGAACGCATTCCATTGTAATCTCACTAATAGCTGTTTTTCCTTAAACATTGTAATTTTCTGAGCCCCTAATAAGTCATCGATAATTTTGTCCATTTTCCCTGGTTTGTGTTTATATTTGTGGCTGTTCATAATTGTGGGCTATTATGACAACCGGGGTCTTGAACAATCGTGGCGCATGAAATCCTCGCCTTCTACTTGAAGCGGCTGCCTGCACGCCGCCAGCGGCACCACGTGGGGCGATTCCGGAGCACGCGCATCGGTCCTCAGTTTTGAAGTTTAATGGGCTGCCTCCAATCGGCTCCGACAACATTCCTTTAAAAATACATAGTGGTGCTTCCCGATTGTAATATTAAGTGAGAGAAAAGTACAATTAGTTTACGTTTGAAACAGAGGTCTATCGCACTGGCACAGTGAGTCAGCATAAAAGGAGAGAACAGGCGGTAATACACTGTAATACCGCTCTTGGATACTTTGTTGAAATTCTCTTGATGCCCAAGTGGGCATTCCAGGCAGGCGTGTTCGCTTCGCGGGCAATCCCTGCACAAACTGTTAGGGGAGGGCCCGCCGCGGGGCAGCTGATGCCACGGGTCCCTTTTGTCATCATTTGACCCACTCTCTGCTCGTCCCTGGATGGCCTTGTATGCGTCAGAACCCATCCTTTCTGGCATACTCTGCAGTTTCATCCTCTTTATCAAGCGAGATCATCTTTTAAGAGGAAAGGCTAAGCGATGCTGAACCCTTGTCAAGTCCAAGGAGCATAAGGCATGGAAACAAACCATTTTCAACTGACCAAAGACTGCTTCCAATACCCTGGTTTTGGTAAAGGTGCTCAAATGTTAAAATATTAACGTTTTTCTTAGTAAAAGAAAAAGATAGTTATTTCTATTCAGATTAAAAAAATTATCTTAGTATAACCTTTTTTTAACAACTGGATTTTGATTATGAAATTGCTTTACAATACCCAGTGAGTTATACAACGCCAACTATTTTATAATTTCATCCTTGTTTATAAAACAAATTTTCCAAAAACCCCCTTAACGATTTCCATTAAGAAAGAACCTAAAGACAGACTCATCACAAGTTACTTACTAAGTCTGAAACAACAGAGGATGAGGAAAATGCTTTGTCATCACATCTTTATGATTAAAGAGCCTTACCTATGGCACCATAGTTGTGATCCTACCTCCTTTAGAAAAGTCCAGCTGCAATTTTTTTCCTTCCCACTTAAAAGCAAACTATTTACTATTTCAAGTAAAAATAAAACGATATTTGAGCTACATTTTATAACTCAAATTCCATTTCACTGCCTTCAATATATGCAACATTTTTTTTTCCAGCCCCAACTTTGAGAGGCAGAATAGGAGAATGGGAGTAATTTCCCTTTTTAACATGTTCGTCAAGAACAGGGACTCTCATATTCTCTGGGCGTGTAAATGCCTCATCTGATCAGAGCAAAACATGGGGCATAGGATCTCAGTGTTCCCCTCTTGCTATAATAAAAATAAAAGACAGTGTTATATCTGAATTTGTGGGAAAACCTGCAGCTCTGTATTTGTTGCGTTGAGGAAGTACCCAATTTTCATCATAAGAACATTATTCTTTTCCTCCAGAAACATGGGTGTGGACTGTGAATACTGATCACGTAGAGGACTGATTGTGGGCTAGGGCAGAGCTTTGCAGGCCTCTCCCTTTTAACCGTGGGCCTTACCATGCAAGTTCCTCTAGTGAAGGTGGGAAATAATTAGGGAGAGGTATCTGGGGTCAGGAAGATAGACAAGAGGAGTGGGGTGGGTGGTGGCAATGGCAACTGAAGTTTCTCACAATCAAACTTGACAGAGCAAAGAGCCCAGAGGAGCCCAGAGGAGCCCTGGATCGGCACTGCCGGTGAGCCCGGGGTAGGAAGAGGGGCTGAGTCTTCAGAAGGGAATCGCGTCTGTCTGCTGATGCCCAAGAGTTGCCGCCACAATCCCTAGGGAGGGTATGCACTTTCTGGATGTTTCTTCTGTGAAATTTCATCTTACAAAGCCAAAGAGTTGACAGTAGTGAAGCCTGGTCCCTGTCCAGGAATACATGCAGGGGTCGTACTGGGGAGAGAGGTACGTCCTGGCGCCTGGGTCATGGGTGGAGCCAGGAGGCATCATGGGTATAAACAGAGACAACAGGGATGGGCTGGGATTCCTGGTGGACGCGCACTTAGCTTCTCAGTCTTCGAAGCTCTGCCAAGTGGAGGGATGAGCCACTGTCCAGTTCCACCCTGAATGCCCAGCATTGGCGGGACGCCACACCTCAGCTTTGAGAATGAGAGCAAACTGATCTGAGTCAGGATAGAAACCAGGTTGAAAATCCTCAACCAGCTCTATCTACCAGGTTTTCAACAAACTCACAAAATATGTCAACTACCCTTTCATAGGGAAATGAGTATTTTAATTGCTTGCACAGAGAACATTCCAGTGGTGTGTTTTCTGCCCTTGAAGACAACTGTTGCAGGGCAGGGCTCCACGGGGGGGGGGGGCTGTGCTTTCCTGTGAAGCCTTTCCCCTGGGCCCGCAGTCTTGAAAAGGGTGTAAGAAAATGTGTAGATTGCAGATTGTAAAAGACGGCTTTGGTTGACAGAAAAGGGGGCTGGAGAGAACTGGGGGGAGGTTCTATGTTTCCTTAGCAACTGGTTGTACCATTACAACTCTCACTGATTTCATGGATTTGTTAGAAAAGAGCTGTAAGTTGAGAGATAAGTTCCGGTCATGGTGTGTAGCCTTAGACAAGCCGTTTACCAGCATGGGGACCCCATCTCATTCTCTGCTGTACCTGGTGTCTAGAACAGTGCCTGGGGCATGGAGTACACACTCAACAAATATTGTTAAGTAAAAACGTGAAAAAAGTGAATGAATTTCCCTATCTGGCCCCATTTCATAATTGGCAAAATTTAAAGAATCTACGAGAAATGAGTAGAACAGATGAGATAAGTCATGTATACGTGTTCTTAAACATAGAAAACACTGTATACATTATAGATGTTGACATATATTCACAGTACGTAGGTACTCGTAGACGGATACAGGTTTGAAGCTTCCTGTTTCTTACACGCTTCCCTGGACCAGATGAGAAGAGGTAAAGGTCTCCACTGATAATCAGACATGAGACGAGTCCATCATTAACACACGTCAATATTCTGCAGCAGCTAAAGCTGCATCTACCTAGACGTTCCAGTAACTGAACATTAATGATGAGGCCTGTCTAATTTTGTCTTCATGACAATGAAATTCTAGAGGGTGACAACGGCAGTCTGCTGCCTGGCTTAGAAATCTGGGCTCCATGTTGCTTCTCTGCCGGGGTGGGTTACACCTACGTACTGAACTCCAAGATTCCCATCCTCCTTAAGACCTTCGGGGCTACTTATGCTATGGCTGAGCTGCAAAGTGTCTCACGTGCCCCTGCACCCCCCAGCCCCCCGCATGGTCCTTGGTCACACCACGGCAATCCACCACAGAAGGAAGCAACCAGGCATCTGGTCGCATCTAATCCAGCTTGGAAATATGGTACAGGTGGGATTGAATAACCTACCCCGCTGGTCTTTAGGGAATGGCTGCAGGGAGAGAGCCTTAAATCTGAAGTTCATGTAGCAAAGGGAGTTTCAATGACAAAAGAGTAAATAGCAAATGCTGAAGAGAGGGGCGGACAGTTTTCAAAATACTTCTCGTGTTTTTTCAGCCTTTGTGATCGCACTGCCAGCATTAAGGAATGATGTAATCCTGGCTGGGACGTGGAAAAATCCTTCCAAAAGTAACTGCACTATATAAACGTGGGAACAAAGGCACTAACGTGCTATTTACAACAGAGCAAGAAAGGAACATAAGATCAGGTCAGAGCTCCCTGCAGTCTGGCTCTGACGGGGCGCATGCTCGGCCTCGGCTCTAGCATCTGCAGCATCTACCCATCGTCCTCGGAGGTCCCTCCTTTAGAACGCACACGCCTTTTCAGATCGTGCTGATTCACTCCATTCTGCGTCTTTTCTTACCTGTTTTTGCTCTTCTCCCAAACCGTCCCACATCGAAGCCACAATTTTGGAGACTTCACCGAAGGTAGCATTTGGATTTTGGCCCTTGATGGCGGCCTGAGTGTCGCGGAAGAACAGCGCGTAGGCAGACACAGGCTTCTGGGGCTCGTTGGGGTCCTTCTTCTTCTTCTTTTTGGGGGTTTTTGGTTTTTTCCCCATGTCAGAGGCGGGCCGCTTCTCTCCACCATTGATCTGAAACAAAACCAAAATCTGAATTACGAGGGACTGGAAAATGTGCGGACGGATCACACTGCGCTCCTGTGAGACTTACTCGGATAGACTCCTCCATACACGTCACACAAACACAGACGTTCCTAAGGGACACTTGGTTTTGTTGCTGTTGCTGTTTTCAAATAAAACTTCCCATTTCATGTAATTTTCATATTCATCCTTTCCCCAGACCTGTTTACATAGCTGTAGGATAACGTTATTGATTCGCTTCGCAGTGCAATTGTACTGTTGGATATCAGCCCTTACCTCTCCTAGCTTCTCCTTTTTCTCACTCAGGAAGCTGAGTGACAAGCAGCGCTGTGACGATGGCAGCAGCAGATGCCTCGTGTTGTGACCCTACTGTATGAACAATCTAACCTGTTTTCTTCTGGGGAGTTTATCCTTTTCCTCCTAATTATGATTTTTAAGTGGTGGTGGGCAACATGTGCAATTAATAAAGTTGAATGGCTTTTGATGGTGCATTTAGGTCTATGGATGCTGCTGGGAAAGCCAAACAATGGTCATGGCTCAGAGAATGGCATACTCTAGAAGCAAATCAGTGTTGTCCAACAAAACCTTCTGCAATGAGGGTAAAGTTCTAAAATCTGCACTATTCAATATGGTAGCCACTAGCTACATGTAACCGATGAGCGTAGGGAATGTGGCTAGCAGGAATAAGAAACAAAATCTTAAACTTTCTTTAATTTTAATTGTTTTAAATTTATATAGCTACATGTGACTAATGGCTACCATACTGGAAAGTGCATCTCAGGAAACTAGATTCTAAAATCTAGACATTTTTAGGACAGCTTTAATATCCAGTTTAAGAATAGTTTCCCTTTTCTCCCATTGTCCTGGCGTCTGAATATTTGGATAATCTGCATTGCTATTCTGATGCAAGTGGAGAAAAACACACAATGTGTTAGGATATCTGCATTTAAATATTAACATCGATAATAGCTAACTGTACGTGATGTCATTTCATCTACCTCTATGGAACGAGAGATTTGGGCTAAGATTTCTTTCTAGTTCTAGGATTACGTGACTCTACCTGAATATCAAGTAGTGCTGTCCCTGAAGGAGCCCTCTTTCCACACGCCTCTCCCACCAGCATACACGCCCACGTGCACCGCCTCTCGATAGCATCGCCATCATCGTGGGAGGTTCTGCACCCTCACCTTCCACTGTTGTGACTGTTGCTGTTTTTTCCCTTCTTGGCAAACATAAGGTCACACGTATCTTATTCAGATAAGCTGCGAGGCAAGGTGATTTGTGTAAAAGAGCTGCCACCATTGGAGAGGAAGCATGGTATCCTGAGAGGCCAGCGGATGTGACGTCAGAGGACCTACACTCATGCCATCTTTCATTATTTTTAGCTGTGCAATCTTGCGTAAATTACATCATTTTCTGGGCCTCCATTTCCAACTTTCTAAATATAACAATTCCTATGTTCAAAATAATAAAATATGAAGAAGAAAATAGAAAAGGATTCAAGAAAGACCACAATGAAGAGTATTAAAACTGGAGGGATCATGACGTTGGAGGTCACAGTTCATCAAGGATTGGTAACATCAGATAGGGAACAAAGCGCAGGGAAATGATGCTGGTCCATATGGAATATTTACCTGGACTCATTTTAAATTTTAATTAAAAAATTAATTAGTACCAGGGGAAAAGAGGTGGGAAGGGATAAATTAGGAATTCCGAAGTTTGCATATACTACTACATATAAAACTAACATAAACAAGTTTCTATTGTATAGCACAGGGAACTCTATTCAGTATCTTGTAGTACCCTGTAATGAAAAGGACTATGAAAATGAATACATATGTATGCTCACATATGACTGAAGCATTATGCTGTGCACCAGAATTGACACAACATTGTACACTGACTCTACTTCAATTAAAAATTAATGATCTGACACATTGAAATCTCTATGATTGCAGATTGTATCAGTCTTTTTGGGAAATAATCAAATGTCAACCGTAGAGATAAATTTCCTATGATGCAACGTAAATAATTTTATTAAAAGATTTCCCCAGATTATCTAAATAGTTGCCATCTTTTACGGTCCAAAATTGTGTTTGAACTGCTGATCTTCATGCTTCTTTTCTTTGTAAAATTGGTATCTGGACAACATGGTGCAAGTTTTAGATCTACTGGCTATGTGATACCCTCTGGTAACAGAAAGGACAGCATCTTTGTACTGGACAACATGGCCCTGCTTTTTAGGGATTATTTGCTGGAGCAGGAGAACCTATTACTGCCAGTGAGAAGCTCTAGGTATCAAGTGTAAGAGAAGCACAAATTACTGTTCTGAGGCCACGTACAGCAACCTTTGAGGAAACTCTAAACAGTTCTGTGCAGCCCATCAATTTGGTTCGTTGGTCCATTGTCTGAAGGCTTCCCCTACTTTCCTGGCTTGCCCAGTAGGATTGGCCAGATGCAGTCTTGCACAATCTGAGTTTCCTTTAGCAGAAACAAGCATTTCATGACTTCTGCCTCCATACTTTCAAAGCTCAGGAGACATCATTTGTGCATTATGGAGTGTCACCCTGAGGCTTCAACTGTGCATCCGATCGGGCACCTGGGAGGCACTCAGCTCTGAGGCTGGGACGTCCTCCCGCATGATGGCCAGACTCCCAGCCAGTCTCATTACGTCGCATCGGCTTTGTCTTTTTGATGCCTGAAAGCGAGAGCCCACTGATATGCCTTCCTTTTAAATGCTCATGTTCACCTCGGCTGGAATTACCTGCCCGGCCAGAAAAGTGGCATCTGAGGGGGCCAACCTATGAGATACACATGCAATATTCACTTCTCAAGATTCACAGCCTTTCTTTTAGTAATTAAACTAGACCTCTGCAACTTGGACCATAATATTCTGACCACTTATATAAGTGTCCTCATAGAACTGAACTATGATTCAAGAGAATGCCCTTTCTCCAAAAGCTGATACAAGAGGAAAAAACAAAATAAAAATTATGTATGAAAGATTTTTTTTTTTAAATAAAATGTGCTTTGAGGGGAACCGTCATTACATTGCTCAGTGTTCCTCGTATGAAGACTTACTGGATATGGACAGTGTCTTTGCTTTTAGGATGCAATATAATGGGACACGACCCCCCTGTTGTGGTTCGCTGTCTGATATTAGCATCCACCCCTGTGGGCAGTGCTGCAAGAAGTGAAGGCTGTCAGCCACGTCAACACTGGGCACTGCCTCCTGATGTGTGGGGGCCTCATGTTTTATTTTGCACTTTGCTTGTGTTCGGGAAGGTACAGAAGTGAGCTACTGTTTTAGAGTCTGTCTAATGACCTGGGAATTTGTCGGGGCCCACTTTCTGGAGGTGTTTTCATCACATATTTGAAAACCACATGGTCATTTCTCACATGCAAAGCTTCCCTAAAGAAAGAGATGCTGCTCTAATTTGGATCCACTTACCTGCCAGGAATGGATTGCATTTTGAAAGACACCTGGCTTTACTGACCACCAACTACTTGGAATGAGCACAATGATGATGAATACGATTGTGGTGGGAAAATTAGCTAAATGGGTTTGTAATATGTCCCTGGGCCTTAATTTTGAGTATTGTCTGGACCCTAAATTCTTACTTAGATGGATGAAAGCTTATAATTTAATGTCTTAATTTTCTAAGAGACTCTGACTTCTGCAGACTACAGCAGCACTATCTCATGGAATTTTCTAGAAAGATGAAAATGTTCTCTGCATTGTCTGAACGGGTAGCTGCTAGCCACATGTGGCTACAGAGCTTGTTTGGCTAGAGCACCTGGGGAACTGATTCTTTTACTTATTTAATTTTAAGTAGTCAAATTTAAACGTACACGTATATGATTGGTGGTGACTGCACTGAACTGCACTGCATTGTGTCCTGGACACTGTTCTAAAGTATAATATTTCTAAAGTTACTTGAGTTCTAAGACTGGAGAGTTAAATGTAATTCCAACATCACAATCTTTACAACAGAGAGGGAGCCATATAATGCAGAAATATGAAGCCCCTACAAGCACACTGAGCGTTGGGACAAGGTCCCGCTAACCTTTCCATCCTCACAGCATCCGTGCGGAGTCTTTCGTGCAGTGAATCAGCACACATTTCCACCCCTGTATTCTACAGCTCGGGGCAAAGGCTTAGAATTACAAGAAAGAGGGAATTCGAAACATATGTAACAGCTGTATGAAAATCACAGCAACTAAGAACATGGCTGGGTTGAAACCCTCAGTGTACACCCACAGACTTACTTCCTGTTCAGTTAAAGCACTAATGAATAAACAAATACATCCACAAATTCATAGAAAGACTACTCTCACATAAGCTTTACACAGAGGCATATGCTTCACGTGACTTACCTGGTGACACAGATTTATTTCCAAAATCCCTAGGGTTGTCCTGATGCTTCTGGTAACCCACCTCCTGTTCATGTCTTATCGCTTAATTATACTGATGCATTTAACTTATTTATCACAAGGAAACAATGATTTCTTACTTTTAAAAAGCATGTATTAATGGTGTTACTTAGATAATACTTAGGTAAGAATACCAGGTCCAGGAGTTAAGATTCTCAAGGAAGGAGAATCACTGATACTGAAATGTCCCTGGAGAAGTTAGAAATGTCTTCAGGCATATTTAAAATAAACTGCCGCGGTCCCAAAGTCTTTAATGGAGCTGGGAGAGCTGTTTAACGCACACTATCTCGCAGTAATCGCTGTAGTTTAAAATAGATTTTAATCAAGCACCATCTGCATAATAGGCTGAACAAACAACATAGAACTCCACTTATAACTCTTACCGCATAAAGTAAATATTGTAAAATCTTCACCATAGAAACAGGGCATCTCACAGCACTTTTTGTGACGGTGCTGTTTCTGTACGTGAAAAATTCTGCTACTTAAATTCATTCTCTCTTTTCTTTCTAAACTATGCCATCTGAAATCCCCTTATGAGAATAAATTCAAATGAGCAT